CGGCGGGCTGTGCTCTAGCGGCAGGATGGCCGCGGCGTGGCGTCAGGGAACAGAAGTGCCTCTCAGGCTGAGCCCGAGGCCAGACGATGAGCAGAGCCTGTACCTTCCTCTCCCGGGCAGCCACGTAGGGGCCCCGCGGCCCAGCCCTGCTTTGGCACCTCCCGCTCCGTCTGGCATGGCTGCTTGGCCCGCCGGCTCCAGGCCCTGGGTGGCATGGCTGCGCTCCGGCTGCTGGTAAGGAGCTGTGTCGGGGAGGACTTTAGGATCTCCAGTCGACTCCTAGAGAATGCTGCAGTCTGCATATTAGACGCTTTTTAGAAGTTTTGAAATTACCTTGATTTTTTAATTGTTATGAAAAACGAACCATTTCTGGACTCTCCCACATGTTCTGTCCCTGGGAGAGCACCCACCCCTTCTGATGTACAGATCATGTCCCTACACCAGCTGAACAAATGTCACGTTAATAAAGAAACTTACGGCATGGCAGGCCCGTCTCTCCTTCCTGGAGCGTCTTCCGGCCTTCCTGGAACGTCTTCCGGCGCAGGAGTGAAGACTGGGTGGGGCTGTGGGTGGGATCCAGGAAGCCTGTGCCCCAGACGGGTACCAGGGCCCCACTCCCCCTGGGAGCCTGGACAGCCCCAGTTAGGAGTGCACTCCGGGAGCCCCAAGCGGCGGAGCAGATTTCCACACCTGCGGCTACCACAGGAAGGGATACCTGGGGTGCAGGTACCCTTGGTGTGCACTGCTGGGGACCCCGGTTCTGCCGGCGGAGGTGCCCCCAACACACATACTCTGCAGGAAACTCTCCTGGCCACACAGAGCCCGCCCCTAACTAGGCTCCCTGCTGGCCTGTCTGTCCAGCTGCCAAATCAGAGAAAGAACCCTATAAAGTGGCAGCTGGAGTCGCTTTCCTTTGCCATCCTGGGCTTCCCAGACCAACGACTTTGTCAGTCTTAGCATGAAAGAGAATCGAATCAGATTTCACAACTTTCTTCCCGGCAGTTCCTGTCTTTAGGAAGTGACCAAGGCACAGGTCCCACATACCCAGAGCACCCCGGCCCCAGGGTGGCAGCTAGCTCCTCCGGAGACAGCAGGGCCGCAGCCAGTGATCACCCATGCATGTCAGGGTCTCGCAGGAGAGATTAAAAGCAGAATCCCTACTTCTGGGCTGGGATAAAGGGGCAACCCTGGGAATCAGAACTAAGCTCCCCAAAGGACTGCCATGAAGCAGTTAGACATATAAGAATCATTTTCTTAGTTTTAATTTTTTAAAAATAAAAATATGAAGCATTGTGTGCACGCTTTTTGGCAGGTCTTCCTTGAGTTACCCGAAATCATCCATGCCACTGAAGGTGGGGCTCAGAGCGGAGCTCTGCATGGGACAGGGGGCTACACCCGGCTCTGGGCATGCTGCCTTCGCTGGGAACCTGAGAGGCCATAAGAACCCCGTGCCCCTCACTGCAGAGGGCAGGAAAGCAGCCCTGCAGGACCCGTGTCCTGATCAAGACAGCTCCAGGGCCGTCAGACAGACGCAGTGCAGGCACTGTCCTCTGCCTGGCAGTCGCAAAATATTTTTCTTGCCATTGTGTATGTTCAGGCAAGTGGCATACCTGCTTTTATTTTTAGAGAACAGCTTCAGGTAAGAATGCTGGGCACAAAACAGAAATTACACCCATACAGGGGACCCTCGAGTTATGACCAGCCTGACATATGAACAACCTGGGCTATGACTGGAATTTTAGTTTTAACTTGGAACCAAAGTCTTGAGTTACAACCCAAGTGCAGGCCACACGTGCTTCCAGATGGCCTCAGATGCAGATGTAACCCTTGAAGAGTTATGGAAGGAATGTCCATTCCTGTGTGGAGTTGAGAAATCTTTCTAAGGACACTGAGCTCTACCCGTATATAGATAGGTGGGAGACACTGAAGGCTGTGAGGAGAAAACTGAGCCTTCAGATGACCAACTTGAGTTACAACCAGCCCTCAGGAACGAATTGAGTTCATAAGTCAAGGGTCTACTGTACCTGGAAAGCAGGTTAATTCCCCTGTGCCTCGGTTTCCCTGATTGTAAAACAAGAAAGTACCCCAGTGGCACCTGTATGCCACTGGGTGGCAGGTGGGTGCTCTGAGAGTCACTCCTGTTCCACGCATCAGACAATTACTGAGCCCCAACCGAGTGCCCGGCAACAGGCTCCACCACCATGCCGGGACATCTCAGCGCCCGAGGTTTCACACTGGACACCACGCCAGACAGCACGTGGCCACTGCCCCGGCAGAGACCCAAATGGGAAGCAATTCCAGCAAAGGCGGTCAGAGAAGGCTGCCCAGCACGGAGGAGACATTCTCAGCCCTAGTGCGTAGGGAGATGTGCCTTCTCCAAGCTGCCTCACTTGCCCACCCCAACCCAGTCTGCCCAGCAGGCCCCACTGTCAAGCCAAGACAGGGCTCCCTCACAGGCAGGCATCACTACGTACCCCGCTTACTCCATCCAGACCCCAAGGAGGGCGGGGAAGTAGCTGAGATGATGCGCAGTGAACCCTGAACCCGGCCTCCTCCCTGGGGAGCAGCTGGTCAAGACGCCTCCGGACACCCACCTTCTCTGAGGGGCCTCTGATGGTGAACAGAGCTTCTAGAGCTAATTCTCTCCTTTCTCTCCTTACACACACACACACACACACACACACTGGCTGATTTTACAGTCAATCTTTCAAAGTGCAATTTGTCTAGGAAAAGCCAATGTGAGGCCCATGTGGGCTCCAACCAATGACAGTGGGGCTCACCCGGCCCAGCCAGTCTCCGCTCTGTATTCTAATGGGCCATATCTTTATCAGGGAAATGTCCCTTCTCTGAACTTCAACTTCTCATGGAGGGTCCCCGGACTCAGAGGCAGAGGCGCTGGCTGTGCTGAGTGTGGGCGGGCAGCACCCCAGCCAGGCCAGTGCAGGCTGGAGAGAGGAGTGCTGGGGAGGCCAGCCACCAGCCCGGGGCACCTGACCACGGAGCGCTGACGTGGGTGCCCAGCGACCGGATGCTCTAGGTGCAGGGCACACAGAGGCTCGGGCGGCTTCTGACTCTCCCAACCTGCCATGACACTCGGGGCCGGAGCCTGGGGTCTCGGACTTTAGGAAGGCCTGGATTTGGGCTTCCTGCTTCCTGCTGCCTGGCCTGGAGATAATGGAGTCCAACCTGCAGGGGACCTTCCTGCTGAACAACACACCACTGGCCCAGTTCTCGGAGATGAAGGCTCCCGTGTGCCAGTACTCCATGCAGAACTCCTTCTACAAGCTCAGCCCCCCGGGGCTGGGCCCCCAGCTGGCTGCGGGGACCCCCCACGGGATCACGGACATTCTCAGCAGGCCCGTGGCCACACCGAACAGCAGCCTCCTCTCCAGCTACCCCCACGTGGCCGGCTTCAGTGGACTCGGCTCCCAGGGAGTCTACTATGGCACCCAGGTGGGGAATTTCCCCAAGGCTGGGAACGAGTACCCCACACGGACCCGGAACTGCTGGGCAGACACCGGCCAGGACTGGCGCAGCGGGCGGCAGTGCGGCGACAGTGAGTATAGGGCACGCCTCCCCGGCTCACCCAGCCCACCTGCACTTGGGGGACGAGGGGGAGGCCCACGTCACCTACACTGCCCTTAGCTCAGACGCAGGCAGACAGAGCCCCACGCTCTGCTGTCCCACCTAGCTTGCCTGGCACAGCTGACTGACCCCTACCCCAGCCCACCTGGTGCACCTGAGCTTCCTCCTGGGAACCGGGGCATTCTGAGCCCAAAGAAGGCCACACAGCCCACCCAAACCCATATGGTGTCCAGCTGCAGCGCCCTCCCCACTCATGCCCAGAACCCATGCCGCCTCTAAAAGGGGCAACTGCCACAGTGTCACCATCCCAAAGAGCTCACTCACACTTGGCATCATTTGGGCCCCGTCGAGGCCCTCCTGGGAGTCAGAGACCCATTTCCCACCCTTTCCCTAGAGTTGACAGCAGCAGTAGGAACGGTAACAGCCCGGCCTCTGGGAGCAGCTGAGCCAGGCAAGGCTTGGGAAACCCTCATCCCACTCACCACTGGCCTCGGCTTTCAGAGAGCTGGTCCAGGGGCCCAGTGCCAGTTGGGGAGCACATACACGGGCAGGAGAGAGTGACAGTGGCTTCGGGAACCATCCTAGTGCCACCAAAACCATTACCAGACCTGTCAGGGACAGAGACTCCCTCACTGCAGAGGGGCTTGAAGCCAACCACAGAAATATCTGTGTCCTGGGCTGCTGCAGGGAGCACAGCTCCTGACACAGTGGAACCTATTTTATAGCCCAGTTTTGGGGTGCTTTAAGCCTCCAGCTATCTCCTCATTGCCGCTTTTCCTCCCTCCCACAGCTCTATACCCTCTTTATCCTCTCCTCTTCAGTCCTGATTACACACACACACACTCACACACACAAACAATGCTAAAACAGTCAGTGGTGAGTTAAGGCAAAAGCTACGACGACTGAAGACAACGATCCCTCTGGAGGTTTCTTCCTCCATCCGTGCCCCAGCCTCCCCAGCTGTCGCGATGGGAGATGGGACATGGGTTTCCAGACGTGTAGGGATTCTGCCTCCTTGGAGCCCCACTGTCTCTAGCTCCTTCCTGCACAGACTGTCCTGGCTTGGGCTCAGGTCAGGCACCCCTGTGTCATCATGGCCATGTGGCAGGGAAGCCGGCCCTGGGACCAGAGGCTTGCCTCTTCTTGCTTTCCAAGAAACAGGAAATGGGTCCAGGATTGGGGGAGGAAGGAGGAACCCAAGCTCCTGGGCGATGACTGCAGATGAAAGATACCAATCCCTGTCTTGGTGTCATGAAGGACAGCCTTGTCTTGGAGCAGACAGGAAGTCCCTATTGTCCCTGAAGCAAAGCAGTAGCACTGAGAACACTGGACAGAAAGGCACGAGTCTGAGTTCCGATCCCCTTCTGTTCCGAGTAGCTATAAACTGGGGTAGCTGCCCTCTTGGAGTCCCTGTTGTCTCAGACCTGACAGAGGTCACAGTCACTGCCACCTGTGCCCTGTGGCAGAGGCAGGACAGGGCTGGCATCCTTCGGGCAGTGTCCAGCACCCACCCTCACTCACCCTACCCCATTTCCCTCCCACCCGCCAGCTCCTGACCCGCTGAGTGACAGCGTCCACAAGAAGAAGCACACTCGGCCCACCTTCACAGGGCACCAGATCTTCGCCCTGGAGAAGACCTTTGAGCAGACCAAGTACCTGGCTGGCCCCGAGAGGGCGAGGCTGGCATACTCGCTGGGCATGACCGAGTCACAGGTCAAGGTGAGTCTGCACAGGAGCCGGCGCCTGCCTTGCAGAGAAGACCCCTGCCAGGCAGGGCAGAAGGGTGGCGACTTCTCAGAGGAAGGCTAGCTGGATCCCACTCCAGAGCCGTGGGGCACCAACCCCACGCCTTCCCCCACCTGCACCATCTGCCAGGAACCTCTTTTCCAATTATGGCCTCTTCACCACATTAGAACTGGATTCCACTCCACCTGCTAGCCAGCAAAAGAAGCTGGCCTCCGTTTACCGGTCTTTAAAATGATGAGAACACCTCCCTCCACTCGCCCTACCCAAAGGACAGTGAGATGGGCATCAGACACAGGTGGCCCCAGGAGACCCCATCCTGGGAGTGTAGACAAGTTCTTTCTGCTTGACACTAAATCTCCCCAGAGACACCAACGAAGAAAGCCTGGAGCCACCAGAGCCTCCAGCTCCGTGCCAGCAAGTTTATGAACTATCCAGGGCAGGCTCGGTAACTGGGCTTTGCCCATGACTAGCTCTGGGACCAGCTCCCCACCCGGCACGAAGGCAGATGTTCCCAGTGGGAGAAAATGCCAGGGTCCCTCTTACAAGCTTTTCAGTCTCTTTAGATGTCTGCAGGCTTCGGCTGTCTCGATGTGCATGTTATTAAGAGGAAATTACCAAGTTCAGTGAAGGACTGGGAAGCTAAAAGAGGAGAAACAATTATTTTAATTTTTTTCAGCATTGGGAGTGGAAGGCAGGGCCTCTTGCATGCTAGGCAAGCTGTTCCTGAGCCACATGCCCGGTAGAGAGCACTTCTTAGCCCCTACCTCTGGGCAGTACCTAGGCTAGGCCCTTCCCACCCTTGCACCCCGGGGTCTTTCTGCATCTCCCACCCAAGGGCACCGGATGGAAAAGGAGAAGGTGGGGACCCCACTGCCAGGTTGCGGCCCAGCTGAATGGGCTGCAGCACCCCCAGCAAGGTGACCCTTACAGGCCCTGAGGTCCCGTGGGAGACTCGGGGACACGTCTCCGCCCCGCCCCAGCTGTAACCCGCCTCCCTCACCAGGTGTGGTTCCAGAACCGCAGGACCAAGTGGCGCAAGAAGAGCGCCCTGGAGCCCTCCTCCTCCACGCCGCGGGCCTCGGGGGGTGCGGGCCCGGGCGGGGACCGCGCCCCCTCGGAGAACGAGGACGACGAGTACAACAAGCCCCTGGACCCCGACTCGGACGACGAGAAGATCCGGCTACTGCTCCGCAAGCACCGCGCCGCCTTCTCGGTGCTCGGCCTGGGCGCGCACAGCTCGTGACGCTCGGTCCCGCCCTCCCCTTCCCTGTGCCGGAGAGGCTGGGACTGGGACGAGGGAGGAGAGGGACGAGGAGGTGCAGGGGTGAGCGCGGGAACTCCGGGAGACCGGCACACCTCCTGGGGCACAGGGAGGCAGAGGTGGCCAGGCTCCGCAGCCGGGAGGCTGATGTACACCCCAGACCTGCCACTGAGATCCGGGGTTGGGGACTGCTGGCTGGGAGCCAGGGGACAGGGTAGGGGCCAGAGATGGAGAGGTGGCGCTGTTGTCCAGGAGTGTTGCCAGACCTGCACAGGCCAGTCCATCCCAGGCTGCAGGAACCAGCTGAGAAGAGAGAGTGGTCCTGCAGAAAACAACTACTTTGACCCTCGCACTGAGGATCATGAGCGGCAGGGCTCTTCCCACGCCCTCTGCCCCGCTTTACCCTTGCTGGCTGGAGAAGGGAAGGCTGGGCTGAGAAAGGGAGGAGGGAGTCCTAGAGCCGTGCCCTACCTGAGAGCCTCCGGACATCCCCGTGTTCTCCAGGACAGGACCGCCCAGGGACAAGAGAGTGCCCCAGCCGGGGAGGGGAGGAAGGGCTGGAAAGGGACTCAGGCACCTCTGCTTCTCCCAGAGGAACACCGAGGCAGAGAGGCTGGGAGGGGGTCCACGAAGGACAGGGTGGGCCCTACCCCTTCCTTTCTGGGGTCACCCTTGGGCCTGGGCCTGGGCCTGGAGCTGCAGCCACTGAAAAGCACCAGTGCAGGCTGTCCTCCACACCCAGATGACCTGGAGCTACTGGCAGGTGGGGGGTGGGGGGCTGTGGGAAACGGCGGGGGCTGGCTACACAGGAGTGCACTCCGAGGAGACCACGAGCTAGCCCATCCTCACTGGCTTTAAAAAATACAAACGAGTAAAAATAAAAGTCCCAGAAACCTTGCTGTGTGGCTCCTGTGTTTCTGTGGAAAGAATGAGCCACAGCGCGGGGCAGTGGTGCCCAGATGTGCCAGCCGTGGGGAGCCAGCATCTCGGCTCTGAGGGCAGCCCCCACCTGGGTCTGTCACTGACTGGTCACACGAATGGGCCAATCTCCATCTGGACGTGTTAGGCACCGTTCCTGGTGCCAAGAAAGCTGAGACAAGTCTAAGGTGTCCCTGACCTCCAGGGGTTCTCGACCTAGGGGAAAACTCTCTGCAGAACACTTGGGGAGTGGAGGCACTAACGTGGCCTGGACCCCAGCGAACTTCTCCCAGGTGGAACACCTGCGCTGTCCCCACTGACCCCACCAGAAACCGTATTATTTATTACATATTATTTTCAGTGTATACGTGTCGTGGTTTAAATCTAGATGTTTCCCAAGAGCCTCACATGTTCGTAGGTGGGGCTTTTGAGGGTGACTGAATCACAGGGCAACATAGCTGACTTGATGTTAGGAAGCCCAGAAGTTCCTTAATCAAGTTGCAGGAGTGGGAAGAGGCCCCTCCAGGGCAGTTTCTGAGGTCCTGCTCTGCTTGCAAAGACCAAGCCCTGGCAGCCCTCCTGCAGACTGTCCACTCTCCAGACCTTTCAGCTTGAGGAGCTATGCACCTATCCAGAGCCCGGGGAGCTAGAAAGGGCTGACCCATGGCTGTGTGTGCCTGCCTCTCCCATCTCGCAGATGCCCAGGGCACGAATTCCCACCCTGTGGGGTCAGCCCTATGGGGGGCAGAAGGAGCCTCTTGCAAAGAGGAAGCATCGGTTTTCCATGAGCCCTGTAACAGGCCCAGGAGATGGGACAAGAAGGCACAGACCGCTTTGAGTCTCTAACCTGCACCCTCTGAAGAGCTTGCAGTTCAGGAGATGGCCCTTCTCTTGAGGAACAGCGTGTGGGCATGCGGCACTCTGTCTCCTCAAGCCAGGCCAGGGCAAGAAGTGGGGCCGTGCTGAGCCCCAGTGAAGAGCCTGCTGACGCGGAGGCTGTCTAGAGGGGTGTCCTGTGGTGGCTGCAGTGGGCGGGAAATCAGCCAGAATTCATGAAGACTCAGCACAGGACACTGAAGAGAGATCCAGTGGGCCTGAGAGCCATGGACGAACACATCTGAGCGAGCCCTGGAGAAGCTGTTGACATAATTCAGGTGCAACATCACCTGAGTGGAGGAAGAATCCTGTGACATTTTTAAAATGCATTTGTTGGCTTCTATTCTGAAGCACCTGACACTCTGAACTACCCTAATATAGCTATAATACTTGCAGGTTTGATTCAAGTCGTGTGGAGTCAGTATTAAATCCAAGTGTTTAACTCCTTGCTCATGGCCTGGATGGCTTGAAAAGAGCTGAAATGGTCTTTGGAGACACCCAGAGTTCACGAGTGAGCAATGGGGAGCAGCACACTGACCACTCTGCACATGGAGCACATGTGTGATCACTCGCCTTTCACCAAGAGCAGCGCTTTGGTTTCGAACAAGCCCCTATTTCAAGTCCTGATCGGTGACAGCAGGGAAGGATTTTATCCATAGTTTGGGTGGGTGGAGTTTTAGTCCTCAACGATGGGATCTTGCACCCCATAAGCATAGAAAAGTTACACAGGAACATGAGCTGCACTACGCAGAAGGCATCACTTTCATCTCTGTAAAATGTGTGCAGGAAATGACAAGCGTATCAAATTGAACCCTGTGGGCCTCGATGTGCACCTCTTACAGCACAGCAGCAGTCAGGTGGCCGAGGTTGCTCCTTAGACAAAGGGTCTGAGGCCATGATGGGGAACCCCACAGGGGACTCGGATGATGCTAGTGTGAGAGTATGACTCCCCATCACCTCCCAGTATCCTCTCCCTGCAGCCGGAGATGGTCCAGTCAGACTGTCTCTGGCTCCCACATCTCAGCGCCTCCTTGTGTGAGCACAGTCCAGCCTCCCTGAGACAGCACAGCCGGTTCACCACAGTCATCTCGTACAGTGAGAGGACAAGACGAGACACTCCCAGCACCTTTGGTAAAGGAACCTGCATGCTGCCCACACCATACTGGCCCTGAGGAGTCAGTGAAGGTCCAGTGCTTTTCTCTGTTATCCCACTGGGGAGTTCCCCCCTGGCTGGGACTCAGGATTTCCAGCCTGTTAAGTACCAAACGTGAAGCCTGGGGGTTTAAGTGGGAGGTTTACCCCACATGCCTCATGCTAGCCATCTGCATTTCCTGACAAAACGAGAGGTCAGCTTTCCTGGTCATCATTCCTTCACCCAAATGACAAGGAGCAGTCAAGGCTAGAAGCCAAAAGTGGTAGCGAAGGGAAGAGCACACATACAAGGACACTACACAAAGTAGACTTGTTCAATGAAAGATGTTCAGAATCTCCACAGACCCTAATAAGTTAGCCCATCAAGGTGTAGCCCACAGTGAGATACACAAATGTATAAGTCCCACTGATACAAAGTTGGGAACTCCCATTCAGTGTGGGATAGGCTCGCACATCCAGCCTGCATTGGCAGCAAGTACCCCTTTGCTAGCTCAAGATGGAGGAACTGACGTCAGCCCGGTGCAAGGAAACCACCAGTTCAGCCACAGACTGCTAAGACTGGGGAAACCAAAGCACTTCGGCAGCTACGTTGCTTCAGTGCCGGAGTGTGTTTGTGTCCACTAAGGAAGGGAAGCATGACTGTGACACATGTACCAATACTGTGGTGTGGAGATGGCTATTATCCTTCACAGTTTTGACTGTCGCTAATGCTCAATTTGTGGAGGAACCAGCTTGGCCCTTGGACAGCCAAGGATCCTACTTTGCATGCATCCTCCCAAGCGTCAGCTCCTCCCACAGTGGGATACCCACTGTGGCCAGCAGTGCCACCACTCCCCTTAAGTCGCTGCGCTCCTTGCTGAGCACCAACTAGAGGGTCGGTGGAGACCTGAACACCACAGGAGGTGGCTGTGAACACCAGGTGGGCAGCACACCTCACACATCCAACACTTCTGTCCAGTGCTGCCCCAGACGTCCACAGCCGCTCCAGCATGGCCATCCAGGAAGCTGTTCAAGCTACAAAACTGATCAATGACCCGAAAGCTGGAATGGAATATAGCCAGGCTGCCAAAAGGCCTCACAAGACCATTGTTTATCAACAAGTATCCTCTATGAGTGCAGAGGGGTCACAGATTCGTCTGGCACAGACTTCCTATGGGACTGGGACATCCCAAAGGACTCCTCTGCCCTTGAGAGAGTGCGCCTACAGCAGAGATGCGATCTGGCCCAGCAGTCTATAGCCCAACGTGGGCCCACTTGAGGAGCACAAGATGTCATGCAATTGAAATAAAAGCAATGCTGTGTCCATTAGTTGAAATAAAAATGGCAAGGAGAACTGACCTCTAACTCCACCAGGAGATGAAATGGTAGGTACCCGAAAGACTGGGCTATGGGAACACTCGGGGATACTGAGGAACATCTATTTTCCAGTCAGAGCACGAGGGACACTGCTGTGGAGGTGGATCCACTATTGTAGCCAGTAACCTTCTGAGATTTCTCCAGTATGCTTCTTTGCTGTAAATTATAGCCAACTTCACTACCTGCAAATTTCCTTTTATCACTTCTTGCAAACCTCCTGCAACTTACTTTAACCTTCTAGTTTTGAGGGGAAAATCTTACCTTACAAAGTTTTTTCTTATCCAAGAACATTATCTCTTTATATCCATCTTTTTCTACATCTCACACTTTTCCTTCCCTCACTCTACACTCTGAGACAACTTCATGAAATTGAAATCTAGACAAAATCACTTTTCTTCCAACAAAATAACATTTTATGACTTCCTATAGCTTTCTCATCAAAATAAAGCCCAATTTCCCTGTATAAAGAATTACACATGCATGTTAATTAGACTTTTTAACCCAGGAAAAAAGCAATCTCGAGCAGATTTTTATACACACTAACACTTTATGATTTGAATATTCCCCCACAGTGGGGCAGAAGTTAGTCTGGCATGCCTTAAATATGGGACAGGAGAGCTTGATACTGCAATAGACGGCTGTCATCTGCTGATGTCCTTTTTGCCTTTAAAATAGCTTGACCCTAATGAAGAATCTGCAGGACAACTTAGTAGCTTTTCCTGCCAGGGTGGCAGTTGAAGCCACTGCTCTTAGAGACCATCTCAGTGCCCCTGTGTCTAAATACATGGGAAAATAGGGCAAGAACTAGAGACAGTCTCCTAGTCTTTGAATAAGGACCCTTATTATCACTCTCTATAGCTCAGAGTGACAAAGAATGATAATAAGACTCCTTACCAGGCAAACTCCTGCAGCCAGAAAAGCAGAAGCCACTGGCTCCCAGAAAGGCCCAGAAGCGTCTCTCTGTGTGTGTCCCGTGCACTGATGCACTTGTGGGAACTCGAGTATGGGAGTCTCAGAGTGAAGGTTAAAGAACATAAGGACCCATATATTGCACAAGCCAAATGAACAAGGCTTTCCCTGACAGAGTTTCTGTATCAGGTACCCTAGAGTCCGGATGAAGCTTTCTCTTCTTTACCTGCCACACAATGGTCACCCAAGGCTCCTCCAGGGTGAGGGGTGCCTTCTGAGCAGCCCTCTGCAGTCGAGCCATTGACTCCCTCTCACGGGGGTGCAGAAGTGAGTCGCTGCCCAGCCAGCTCTTCCTGAGCCAGTGTGGACACCCTCCTTCCCAGTGACTCTTTTTCCACAATATGCATACTGCGTATTGCTTACTGAGTAAATCCTGAGGGCCTCGAAAGTCACCCTGAGGTGGAGGCTGAATTCAAGCACTCAAAATCTGTGTCTTTTTCTCTAACCTTTTATCTGCTTGCCTATTCTGCCTGGTCCCTTTCATTATACATATTGAAGTTCTCTACCACCCAAGGGTCTTACCTCAAGCTTTTGTAACCTCCCCCTGGTATCTGGGGCAGACTGCGGTATAAAGCACATGGCCGGTAGGGCTCTCCCTGCTCCTTTAATGCCAGTGCTGGTTTGGCATTAGTAGTATTTCAGAAGGCCTCCAACAAGTGATTTTCAAATGCAAAATTCACCTCCCTTTCTTGCGTTACGCCTCCACTGGCTACTTCAGCAGTTTTTCTAAGAATCTGTTCTTTCTCATGAGAAGTGGAGCACTAGGTTAAAACTGCACATCCCCCCAAATCAGAAAAAAATTATACTCAACTCAAATCCATCCATAAATTCATCAGGATTCTCAGAAAAACTACCAAATCTCTCTCTGTACTGAGCCACATTCACCACTAAGAAGGGAGCATGCACTCCTATAGCTTCCCTATTTCCACCTGACACGTCCCGTGATGGGAACAGATTCCCTGAGTAGAGTGGGGTGCTAGTTTGTTTCCTGACCTCAAACCCATTGGAGATGACGCTAATGGGGTAGGTGGGGGTAGAAGTGGCCTCTGCCTTGGATGAGGAAGAAGAGGTGGTAAGGGGAGAAAGGTACTATTGGCTTGGTTGACAGGGTGGCTCCCAAACTGTGAATGGGGAAGCAACATCTGCCAGTGAGGTGCCATTTGGAGGTAGAGATTGTTAGGATGTCTGTGCCAGGTTGTGTAGGTCTAGGGAATTTAGCCACATAAACCTGATAAGAGTTCCCAAGTCCAGGAACCATAAAAACCTGGTTGTAAAGAATTTTTCTCCTTCTGGCAGAACAAATCTAGTTGAAGAATGGTATTGTAGTTCAGGGACCCACTTGCTGTCCATCATTCTTGGTCTCCCAATTTATACTGAGGCCAGACTGTTACAGAAGATGATCAGCCTCTTTTTCTTTAAACCAGCATTCTTAATTTTGGAACCACCCTCGGTTCCATCCCCAGCACTGAAAAGAAGTTGTTAGACTGCTATGAATGGGTGTGAGCAGATTTACAGCACTGTAACACACAGCCATACTCGACTGTATGCAGAATAAGAGAGCTTTGGAGAATGAGGAAGCAGCAGCCAGCAGGCCTAGGTAACGGCTGGGGTCCTTGCAGACCCAAGATTAGACTCCAGGAGGCTGGCTGGGGACTGCCAGCCATGGTGCACAAAGAAAAGTTTCAGATACACAGCCCCTTGAGATTGCCAGTGACAGGACTGAACCCCAAATGTGCATCAGCACACTCTGTAGATGGCACAGTGCCTACTGCTCAAGGGGACCCACAGCCAGCAGGGAGATTAAACTTTGCCCTTATCCTCTGCATAATGTTTTAGAAGGATTTTCAACAGAAAGTGCTTTGAACAATTCGCTCCCTGGTGATGCTCAAGTAAACAAAAGGGTGCCAGATGTCTATCAAGCCTGCCGTGGGCTATCACTGTTAGACCACATCATTTTAGGGAGGAATCTAACAGACTGGCAAACGAAAGAATGGCCCGTCACTTGCGAGGCAGAGGCCGTGAGAATGAGGTAAAGAGACTCCTGGTGCTCATCTTGTTCCTGGGCCTGCGTGCGACGGGATGCACTGGGCATAGCCCTCCCAACACACACACACAGCAGGAGGCCCAGGTGCAGGTAGTGCCCAGCACTCCTGAGAAGAGGAAAGCGTACCTTGCACCTTGAGGGACGACAATGTCCCTGGCTTCCAGATGAAGGAACCAAGACAGAGAAACCGCCTGCCACACCCCAGGCCCAGGAATGCCACCGGATTCTATTTCCCCAAAGTGCACCCTCCAAGGGCTCACTGCACGCTGTCACCGCCCCAGGGCCAGCTGCTCTGCTGTCCCACTGTGTGAGCCGCCCCTGGACATCGCGATGCTGTGCAGTGCCGAGTGCTTCCCTTGCTCCAAGAGCCATAGGAAGCAGGTGTTTGCATCACACCCACCTTACAGCTGTGCACACGGGACACTGGGACGCTGGGGAACGAGCGAGCACCAGGCTGCCAGCTTGACTCAGGTAGACTCTGGAGTGCCCATTCCTAACCATCATAAAAAATAAATAAAAGGAAGAAAAACGAAAAGAAATGAGAATTAGGAAACTTCAATAGCAAAAATAAATATATTTTAAAAATTAAAATGCAAGTAAGAGCTGGGAGAAGAGCTCAGTGGTAAAGCACATGCATAACATGTTCAAGGGCCTGAGTTCAATCCTCAGCACCAAAAGAAATAAATTATTGCATTTTCAGAAAAGAGTAAAACAATAACAGTAACTGCAACACCATGAAACGGGAGGGGAGAAGGCCCATTTGAATTCAGGCTGGAGTATGAACTGGTTAAAAAGAAGGGTGGGGGAAAGGTAATAAGGGAAAAGAAAAAAATAGAAGAAAATGAAAAAAATGGAAATAAAGTGTTTGTAAATGGGGAGGGGAGGAGGGGATGAAGGGAGGGCAGGGATAAGGGGAAAAAATGGGAACCAAGACCTGTCATGTAAAGGTACAAGATCCCAATGATGAATGTAACTGTACTGTATACCTAAAAAGTACCAATAATCTCAAATGAGAGAAAAAAATTAGGGGCTAGGGATTTAGCTCAGTGGTTCTGCCACCTGCCTCGCAAGCACAAGGACCCGAGTTCAATCCCTGGTACCAAAAAGGAAATTAGGATTATATATATGTTATAGATAAAAATCTGTGCAGTCAACATTTTTGGCACCGGGGACTGAGCCCAGTTTGCAGACTCCTTTGCCTGGTTCTGTGCTTGGCCTGGGATACAACACAAGAAAGTGTCCCTGCCTCCTGAGGCCCACAGTCTCGAAGGAGCTGCACTGCCAAGACAGCCCGGAGCACAGAGCTGTCTGCACCCGTGAGGAGCGTCCTCACAGGGAACAGAAACCAAGGAGGCTGAGGGTGAGCAGGAGAGACCTCTGCGACTTACAGCGCACACTAGCAGGGGGAACTCACACATCAAGAGTACTGCATCTTTACTGGAAGAACAGACACTAAAGGTGATGTTATTAGAAAGAATCTTGCGTCTGTGTCATCTAAGATTTAGAATTTAGAATTTGAGCTAGGCGCTACAGAAATAAAAGCAATACCTAAATCTCCATTTTTTTACAATAATACGGTAGCATCCTATAGTTTTTAAAGATGTTTCCTTATACATTATCCCCTTTATTAAAATTTTATTGTAAACTGACAACTTATAGTGGCGGATGTTTTGGGGTACAAAAAGATGTTACTATTGATAAGATGATGTTAAAATGGCCCCGATGCCTCATGTTTGGAAGGGAACTGGGTTATCAGGCACTGTGGGTCACCGGGGGCATGCACTGGAAGGGTCTGTCACCTTTCCCAGATCCTCCCTCGCTCCCTCTCTGCTTCCTGACGCCGTGAAGCAAGCGGCTTTGCTCCGTCAGAGCTGTCCACCTGCCTGCCTGTCTTGGAGCCAGCTAACTACGGGGCTACACATGCAAGACAAGATGGATCCTCCTCCTTTACGTCCGGTGTGCCCACTGTGGTGTCTCATCAGTGAGGAAAGTGAGTAACACAGAAACGGAATGACTGAGTCAAGCTAATCGATGTATCTATCACCTCAAGTACTTAGCAGTGTTATAGTGAGAACATTTGATGTTTACTCTTAGCAGCTTTGAATGTCCACTTCACTATTGACTATATTTGTCATGTCATGCGGTGGTGCCTTAAAAAGAAAACATCGCTCCTTCTGAGATGTTGTCCCCTCTGCCTCTGTGACCACCCTCATCCTCTGCCTCCAGGAGTTTGGCTCTTCTAGGTCCACGTGGGACTGAGACTGTGAGGTGTCTGTCTCTGTGGCTGGCACAAATGACAGCATTTCCTTCTTTCCGGGCTAAATAATATGACACAGTGTCTGCGTCCCACACCTTCTTTCTCCAGCCTGGGCTGCTTCTGTAACTGGATCTTGTGAATAGTGTTGCAGTGGACATGAAAAGATGTACCTCCTCTGCACACGATTGCAAACCTACAGGGTAAATGCCCAGAGGGGGGATTGTTGGGTGCTCTTTTTTGGTGTGTCTCATGGTGGTTGTACAAACTCACATTCTCACTAACAGGGTACAAGGACCCTCTGTTCTCCACCAATTCGCCAACACCTGCATCTTCATCTTTTTGCTAACAGCCCTTCTGACCAATGTGAGACAATGGGTCACTGTGGTTTTGACTGGCATCTTCTAAAGATTAGCAGTGTTGCCTATTTTTCCTTATATCTGCTGCTCATCTGTTTGTCTTCTTTGGAGAAATGTCTATGGCTGGGAGTGGTGGTGCACGCGTGTAATCCCAGAACTAGGAAGGCTGAGGCAGGAGGATCACCATGAGTTCGAGGCCAGCCTAAACTACTTAGCAGAACCCTGTCTCAAAAAAGAAAGAAAAGAAAAGAAAGGAAAGGAAAGGAAAAGGAGGGGAGGGGAGGGGAGGGGAGGGAAGGGAAGGGAAGGGAAGGGAAGGAAGGTAGGTAGGTAGGTAGGTAGGTAGGTCTAGGAAGTTCTTTGCTCATTTTTTGAGTTGTTTTCTTGCTATTGAATTGAGTTCCTTATATCTTCTGGATATTACTCTTTTATTGAATGTACATCTTGAAAATACTTCCCTCCAATATCTAGGCTGTCTCTTCACAGTGCTGTTTTTGCTGTGGAGAATCTTGACAGCATCACCTAATTCCATTTGTCTCATTTTGCTTTTGTTGTCTATACCTTAGGGACCGAATCTAAAACATTCAGTGCCCAGACCAATGTCATATTTTTTTTTAACATCAATTTTCTTCTACAAATGTTTCAGTTTCTGGTTTTAGGTTTAAGCCTTTAATTGCTGAGAGTTTGTGTGGTGGGAGATGTTTCCGGTTTTATGGACCTGGATGTAGACGTCCAGCTGCCGAGCACCATTCTTCCCATCATGTGCTCTTGGCACCACACAGGAACTGGGCAGCCATACACACGTGTGGACATGGGTCCTGAGCTCCATGCACAATTCTGTTGGCTGCTGTGCATATTTTATGCCAGTATCACACTGTCTTCTTACTATGGCTGTGCAGTATAGTCTGAAATCAAGGAATGTGATGCTTCCGGCTTCATTATTTTTGCTACAATTTCCTGGCCTATTTGTGTATGTGTGGTTTTGGTTTGTTAGTTTTTGTCTTTGTTCTGTAGTTTCATATGAATTTCAGGATTGTGTTCTCTATTTCTTTTGTTTTTGTTGTTTGTTTGGTTTTGAGTCAGGGTCTCACTATGTAGTTGAGACTGACCTGGAACTCACTATGTAGTCCAGGCTGGTCTGAACTCACAGCGATCCTCCTGCCTGAGCCTCCCAAGTGCTGGGATTACAGGCGTGCACCAGCACGCCTGGCTTGTGTTCTCTAGTTCTATAAAAAATGACATTGGAATTTTGTTAAGGTTTACATCCTGATAATGTTATTTCATTTGATTCTCAGACTGGGCATCAGATTTTATTCCTAACTTGCAAATGAGAGATCTGAGGCTTGGAGCACTGAGGTTGTCCGTCCAAGGTCAGAACTCTGGGCGGGGGTGAGACCAGACCTCCACGTCCTGCAGCTATAATCCAGGGTCAGGGCCACTTCCAGGCATACAGTGACTGGGAGCATCAAAGCTTCAAAAAACACAGGAGGACCAGGTAAAGTCCTCTGATCACGCATGAGTCAGCACACCTGTCACAAACATCCTTCGGGCTGGTGTAGTTTCTGGGCTGGTGTAGTTTCTGCGCCTGTGTAGCTAACCACCCATGTCCCTGATGCGGCAGGCACACTGTAGCTGGAGACGGCCACCCAGACATGTCCCAAATTGGATGACAAGAGCACTCCTCAAACAGTGAGATCGCTGGGCCCTGCTTGTGTCTTTGGGTCAGTGGGAGAAGAGGAAGGGAGAGGCCCTGGAATGGGCCTGGTTAGCCAGCACCCCAGGGAACCCTAAGTGAACAAATATGGGAAACAGTGATCTAAAAGCTCAACTCCTTTGAAGTCCACGTGCTTTGGCTCTCTTGCCACCTGTGGAGTCATTTGCAAAATGAGCCCAGCTGAATCCACAGCTTTACCTTCCTCCTTAGACAGTGAAGAGGAATGACCTGGGTACATGGGGCTGCGGGACCTGCACCCACCCTTCCCGCAGCCACATGCCACAGGCTGTGGCTGGAAGACCTGTGCAAAGGTCTGATACCTTGGCTGGCTCTTGGGATTTACAGTTTCATCTACTTGTTTTTCTCAACTCAAGGTATCTTCTTTATCAAAATTTGCTAAATGACCACTGTATTCTACAAAGGAAAAGTAAGGCTGCACTTGCAGTTCTAGTGTTGGCTTGGCTGGGAATGGATGCTTCTGCTCCTCTGCTGGTCTGTGATACTGGCTGTTCCATGGAGATGGCCTGGGCTGCCCCAACCTGTGAGGAAATCTTCCTGAGGCCTCAAAGCCCACGATTCAGGAGAACCTTGGGCTGCAGCAGCCCCACCTCTGTAACCTCATGTGTGAGTCAGCTTTCCATTGGTATAACAAAATACCTGAGGCAATCAGATTAAAAATGGGAAAGGTTCATTTTGGCTTGCGGTTTTGGAGTCTTCAGTCCATGCTCAGTTGGCCTTGCTACTCTTGGGGCTGTGGTGAGGCAGCTCAACATGGTAGAAGCACATGGTGAGGGAAGCTGCCATCTCATGGTATTGAGAAACAAAGGGAAGGGGGGAAGAGGCCAGGGCTCCCCTACCTCCTTCAAGGGGGTCCCATCTTTAAAGTTCTCATCACCTTCCAATAGGGCCACAGGCTTGGACCAAGCTTAAATTCAGCACATGGGCCTTTGGGAGACATGCATGCTGACCACAGCACCACTGACCCGCCAGCACTGCTCTGAGAAGGGTCAGGCTGTTAGCCCCTCTTGTGCCATTCAAGCTTTGCCGAGCCTATAAAGTCACAGTCACTGCTCAGTCACTTATGGCCTGGGACTCTCCTGCCTGTGCCAATGCCCCTCTGCCAGCTGCCCCACCTCCGAGTCCCTGACCTGGCCCCTCCAATCTATTTCCCATCCTTGGGCCTGACTCCCGACAATGAGCTTGGGGGCACAAGTGGAGCTTCAGATGAAGGCAGTGGGGGCGGGCCAACTCCCAGGCTCCTTGCGGTCTGTTGGGATGGTGCCTTTGAGTGGTGACCCCACAGGCAGGATGTAGCAGCTCAGCACCCTCAGCCAGTACTCCTTCTCCTGTTCTCAGAGGTGGATGCCAGCCTTAGCAGAAGCAACAACCTTGGCAGTGGTGGCAAGGCCTGCTTTGCCTTCCCTGTGCAGCCCTTTGCCAGCCTCTCTCCCCACAGTCAAGCCAGAGGCTGGTATTCAACAGCCCCTCATCAGGCCTCTCTTAGAGGCAAACAAACATCATTAATCTTGGTAAAGTGAGCGAAAGCACATTCACCTGTCCCGGCGAGAGAATTAATGTTGTGTCAATAGGAAGTTAGTGTTTACCTCTGGCCTTGACATCTTCCTTTTACTACAAAAAGCCCAGGGTGGGCCAGACCACAGTCAGCAGAGATGAGAAAACCCAGAAATCAGGAGCCAGTGGGGATCTGTGGCCCAGGAGGGAAGGTGACAGGGTGGCCTTGCTAAAGTCACCTGCCAGTTGTGGGGAGAGTACAGAAGTCCCCAGCCTCAGGCGAGCTGTGTCTTGAGGTCAGAGATTCTCCTTAGCCTGTGAGACCTAGGTAGACCTCTCCCTGGCTGGCCTGGACTAACAGGGACAGCCCATAGGAGGTGCCTCCTTTCCTGCCTCTGAGCCAGCCAGCAGCACACACAGCTGCTCAAGCTGAATGGAATGTCGCTGCCAAAGTTGCAGCTGCTTACTGAGCACCTCAATGCCAGCCACTGTGTGTGACTGACAGTCTTGAAAAACCCTGTCAAGTAGGTTAGGACACCTTTCTCTCCAGTGAGAAATCATGGCAGAAAAGCAAAGTCAGCGGCCTCAAGGGTCCACACAGAGAGGAAGTAGATCTCAACCCAAGTCTGAAACCAAAACCAGACCCTGCTACACGCCTACACACACACACACGGGTTCATACCAGGAAGGATCAGTCCCAGCTCGTGAGGTCAAGTGTAAGGAAATCTCTTCTGGGTGCCCCAGGGAGTCCTCAGGGTGGGAGAGGCAGGGAGAGACAAGGAGAGGCAGGGCCGGGCCAGCCAACTTGAGGGTGTGGGGGTGTGCATGCCTATGTGCCCAGGAAAAGAGACCAAGCAGGGCGATAAGATCGCTCGTTTCCAGAGCAAAGCACCAATTAAACACAAGGCAGATGTGAGCAAATAAAGCTGTGGCGTCCAGAAAGAAAATCAATACTAGATTATATGTTCCAGCCCAATCATATGCCAATTAATACAGGGAGGGTGGGGCCAGGAGGGAGATAAGTCCTGCTGGCCAGAATGTGGAGATCACTGTCTGTCCTGGGCTGTGAACCCCTCCAGCTTTCCCACAATGGGACCTCAGGCCCCAGCCTTCCCAGGAGGGGCTGGGGGTCTGGGGAGCCTCTGTGTGACCAGTGAGGCGGAGAAGTCACTCCCAGGATGCATGTTGGAAACCAGGGGACAGGAAGGGCAAGTGGGTGAAAAATGCTCTGGGGGATGGCACCTACTGGAGGGGGCAGCCCAAGCCACAAAGACAGGCTAACAACAGCTAACTCATCCCCAGAACCAACAAGAGACCTGCCCTTGCCAAGTGACCAACGCCCCTGGTTCTTCCGTCTGTGCTTTAATTCAGAAAGTACAGTTGAGCAGTTAACAACTCATTCGCGCGGTGATAGGAGACAGTGGCAGGGCTGCAGTACATGGCAGGCAATGTCCACAGCATGGTCAGCTGCTCAGAACACTCTGTGCAGGGGCTCCAGGCTCAATACTGGGGTGACAGCCACTGCCAGCCAACAGATAGGATTACTAACCGCACTGGGTCCTGTTCCAGGGGAGGTGGCTTTGACACTATTGGAAACACAAGATGGTGTCCCAGGCTATCCTGCTGAAGGCGAGGACCAGTCCTGCCATGTTGGAGTCAAGGCAGGCACTCTCTTCCGAAAAACACCTGAAGGCCCCAGGGAAAAGGAGACCCAGAGTTGCTTGACAAACCACACACAAGTGGAAAGAAGGTGGCAAATGCATGAGGAAAGCGTATCTGTTCCCAGAAGTGCCCACGGGAAGGTCGCAGCCAGAGCTTCTCCTGCCCCAAACACACCTGACTCAGGAGTTCCAGAGAAAAGCCTTTTCCAAGTGGGACTTCCTTGGGCCAATGACTGTTGTGTGCAAAAAAAAAGAAAAAAAAACCCACAAAATTTTCTAGCTGAATTATTTTTTTAGACATTTTGCAAGATGCACGGCCTCCCTGACAATTTTTAATGTACTAACTGCCTGGTCCAGTGAGCTGATTAATTGGTGCTGGAGAGATCAATAAAAAACAGAAAATTAAAACAATTTTAAAGTGATTAAGTAGTTTAACACCTGTCTCCCGTCACGTCAGCGCAGGAAGAAAAATAAAGCAGGTGTCGAAGGGGCCCCTTGAAGCAAGAGAAAACAGCGCCTGCCTCGGAGAAATGACAAATGGCAGCGGCCGGATCAATCTGTGCACGGGCGGTGGGAAGGCACCCAAGCAGGAGGCGCTGTCCATGCGCCGCAGTCCGGGCCAGGAGCTCAGGAGCCTGCGCTTGCCCAAGCCAGGTGCTGGATGGGATCCCGGGGAAGGACCCACTCAGTGTCCGCGCAGTCCAGCCCCACTGAGGGCGCAGTTCAAACACACCTGCAGTGCTCTGCAGGGCCTGTGAGGGTCACTGCTGTCCCTAGGAAGACCAGACCTGACTTTGGAAGCTCCACCTGTCCGCCTTCCTCCCCAGGGAGACAGAGGCTCCCAACCCCCACCTTCCCCTGCACCCACACCCCGTCTGGTGACGTCACAGGTGTGAGGGGACCTGCTGGGTGACAGCTGCAATGTCGCTCCTACCTCTTCTGGTGGAACTGCTGAGCAACGTGCTCCTTTCCCGTGGTCTGGTGTGTTTGACTCAAGTCAGCTCAGAGTGACAGAAACTGAGACGACTGTTCCACTTCCCCAGCGATCTTTAACAAGAGTGGGCGAGCCTGGGCGGGAGAACAGAGGAGAGGTTAACAAATGTTGGCCCCAAGTGAAACATCACACAAAAGCCTCATTTTACCAGGTAAGTGGACATGCAAGGTCACTCACATTCTAGAAGCTGTGTAAAGCTGGCCTCCACCTCTGGGCCTGGCTCACCACAGCCCAGCCCAGGAGCCGGGACAGGTGCGCTGCTCCTGAAAGCCTGCATAAACTCACCTGCTTGCCAGCTCCCTGGCCACTTCCAAGGGTCCCTGGTGGCAGCACTTTCACCCCAAGAAGAGGAGAGACAAGGAAGTCCAACGAGGCCTTGCCGCCCAGGGGAAAGCCCTCAGCAAGGCTTCTCGAGAGCATCCCACTCCCAAAGCCCTCCTGTCCTGCTGCCACGCCAAGGGCCAAGTCAGGCAGCACCTCCACAGGGCTAGGCTGAGGAAAAGGGGTCCCCACTATCCACTGTAATAAACACATCAACTCCCTCCGACTCCTCTCCATAAAACAATGTTTGCACCCAAGTCTTAATGAAAAGGTGTCTACAGCCAATTCTGTATCAATAAGAATGTCAAGAAATGTCTTCCGGTCTTCACCTGTTAGCTCACTTTACAGTCTCCATACAACAAATGCTGTCTTGGTGTCCCCTGCTGCGAGACGCAGCTCGGGTGGGATTTAGCAGAAGGCAGCTAAGGGTGCTGTCACCCTTCTCAGGTTTGATCCCACGCTCCTCACACAGGCGTCTGCTCCCAGGTGCCCCTTCCGACAGGGAAAGGCTGACCTGTGCACGCTGTGGGACCTGCACGGACCCAGATCCTCACCACTCTCAGACCCAACACAAAGTTCTTGGCACGGTGTGTCCCAAGTCCGCAGCTGCTCCCTGCAGAGCAAGCCCCACGCTGACGCTGACGCCGACACTGACAGAGATAAAGTTTCCCTGGGCCCAAGTTCCAAACTTGGCTGTTTTGTTTCTGTTAAAATGCAATTGTTTTTCTCTGGAGTGTGGTGACTGCCCAGCGTCAGGAAGATGTATGAAAACCTCCACTTCAATTCAGCATCCCTTTTCTCCCAGACAAACACGGTCGGATTTTAATAAATCAAAGAGCCACACTGTTTAATAAAAATTTATTGACTTACAAGTGATTATTTATCAAAAGACCATTAATAGCAGGTACTGAAATGATGTGTTGCTGGGTGGTGCTGGGAGACTAATAGGAAATCAATGCAGCTGGCCAGCCGGAATGCATATGAGAAGCCCACCCCTCAACAGCCAGCAGAACTTCAGCGGCAAAATACACCAGCCGCCACCCACTGTGCAATGAAAAGTTCACCCTTTTTATTTATCGTTTACAAATGAAATGATCAATACTTTTAATCTAGAGCAAAATTTATTAACTTTCCCATCGGAGAGAGACGTATTGACTGGGCGAGCGGGGTGACTGCAGCGGACGATGGATGGCCGCACAGCCGGCTCCCGCCCTGTACCGACGGTGCACAGCGGCCCTTCCCACCGGACACCCAGGCCACAGCACTGTGCCCAGAGCAGTCCGGTCTGGCCGCTCATGGCGCTCAGCAGAGATTCCAAGATGGAAACGGCAGGGTTTACAGACCCAGACAGCAGAGCAAAACCTACTGTGAAATACGCCACCAACCCTCACGCGCACCTCTCCTAGGTCTCTGAAGGAGAGCAACTGAGGGAGGCAGGAGGGACATCATCTCACATGGCTTCACCAGTGTAGCTCGCCCAGCTGGAGCCAGGCTGACAGCCTTCTAAGGAGCTCCCTTCCACTGTCAGCGGAATTTACCTTAAGGGAGAACGTTCTTCCTCTGATTAGCTGGGAAAAAAGCCCTCTCCAAACCACCCAGCCGGAGAGGAATGGCCCTGGTCCCAGTCACCTGGAAGGGTACAGGTGGGGGACCCCCATCCACACAGCGGGCACCTGCTGGTGGTCTAGTTCCACCAGTCTAATTTTTCAGAGAGAGCAAATGGATTCAAGTGACTTCTAAGAATTAGAAATGTCAGAGGTGTGAAGGTCTGAGGCCCCCTAGCCTACACGGCCAGTTATCAATCAGGTAGCAAACCCAGAGAATGTCACGGAAAAGGGACAGGTATGGAACGGGGTCGAGGCCGGCCAGTGTTCATCCCACCAATGATCATCTCCTGGTTTTATTCAAAGCTCATCCTTGCTCCGGCTGGAATCCAAGTGTGAGCATAGCTTGTACCTTGCTGCTTTGTTTCAAAACACTGCAGGACTTAGCAAGGAGGACCAACTCAGTGTTCCCAAACCAAATATTCTGACTTATCAGCAATCTGGGGCCTTCATGATCCCAGCTGAAAAGGATGAAGCAGTAGGATGAACTTAAATTAGGAATGGGCGTGCAGAATGTGAGACACATAAAAAGAAAAATAATCGATGCAAACAATGAAATACAACAGATCACGCACAGAAATTTTAGAACTTCTTCTAGAGGGAACATGACCTTTAAGACCAATGTGAAAGATCATTCCAGTGAGCACTGAGACACTACAAACATCACCTCCTATTAAAGCTGAAGACTGCTTTTTTTTCTTCAACATTCCACGAAACAGTTCAGAAGAGGCTGTTCTTACAGCCGTGAGTGTTTTTATTTGTGAGAAGGTTTCCACTGGCTAGCAAAGAGGCAGGTAAGAGGAAATGGGTGGCTGTGTGAAGAGGCGGCGGTAGGCAGGGCGGGCAAGTGACACCAGGTTCAGAAAGGACAGGTCCTCAAGCGTGATGGTGATGTGGATTTGCAGTGTCGGGCTGGGCTCACTCCCAGCATGTCCCCTACCCCACACCTGAGGGCAGCTGGGACATGTGACATTCCCCAGGGCAGGCGGGAGTCCTGTAGGGTACCGTGCTCACTACAAGGAGGGCCGGACGGAGGATAAACTGGGCTGAGAAAACTCTGAGGATCGGAAATCTGTGGACCCCAAAGCAAGGACCCACAAGAGTGGTCTGGCTCTGGGTCTACTTCAGTCTGACTGAGGTGCTTGTGATGCCCGCGGTTCACCTCTCGGCCATGAGGAGACCCAGTGTGCTCAGTGTGCCCCAGCCTCTCCTGGACCCCACTACTCCCCTGCCTCCTGGGTCTCATTAGAGATCCTACTGCCCCACAACTTCCCCACCCCACCTTCAGGACCTCACTTGCCTCCAGTCTGCAGACACCCTGTCTATGCCAGAGGTGTGCAGATGTGTGGTGGGAGACACCAGGCTCAGTGCAGAAGCCAAGTAGAAGAGACACATGCTCGGGGCTACAGCCAGGTTTTATTACTCACAACCACAAGACTAGAGCCCTGCGCAACAGCTGAGCTCAGACCTCGTCCTGCACGTTCCTGGACCTGGACCTGTGACACTGCGCAAGACATGTCCTTCACTCATGCAGCACCTGAGTCCCCACAACAGCCCTGTGAGGTAGGAGTCACCACCGTTCCACACCTGATTCACATAACAGATGGGGAAACTGAGGCACAGTTAAACAAACAGGAAGTCACACAGGGAATTGAGGCTCATCCTGGAGTCTGAACACAAAACAATTCCTGGCTCTCACCACAGACCAGCTGTTAGTCCACTGGCCTCTCCTATCCCGCCTGCTGACTTCCAAACAGGAGTAACACAAGAATTTCAAACTTCCTTTTCCGAACACCCCACAGACTGCAGCACTTCTCTCTTCATCAAGTTTACAGAGCTCCAAGGCTGGGCCAGACCCTGGGCAGCGCCTCTCCAGAGAGGGGTAGCTTTCCCCTCACAGGCCCAGGACTGGGGCATCCTAACAGGGAGTGTGCTGATCCTCACACCGCTCAGCCCCGCATGACATGCTCAGGTGGAGAGACTTTAAACGGCGTTCCTCCGAAGGACGTATATAAAAGGGACAAGAAGGCATCTCGTCCTGGGCAGCAACACCCAGCAGTACTCGCTGCAGACAGCGAGGGCAGGCCGAGCCGGCCCAAGCGCAGGGACCCACGCAGCTCTGAGGCCAGGGTCCTGGGATCCAGAGCAGCCCACGGCCCGAGTCTGGAAGGAGAAGGCAGCGGGGGTGGTGGTGGCAGCAGCGGCAACAGCTCCGCTGGCTCGCGTGCCAGGATTCCGGCAGGTGGTTCCTGCCAGAGGGCCCTTGGGCTCAGGAGCGGCTCCGGTCCTCATGGTTCCCCACAATCATCTTGCTGTAGAGCTTCTGCTGCTCCTCCTTAAACGTGTCCTTTACCTTCTCCCTCTTCAATCCACCATCCCTGAAAAGAGAAAGGCCAGGCGAGAGCAGAGAAGACTCAGCTCACAGGGCAAGACAGGCCCAGAACACGTGTAACCGGCTCTGCAGCCCTGCGTCAGACGGACCACATACACCCACAGGGAACCTTAGCTTCCCTCCTGCTCAAATGCCCACCTTCGCCCTGCAAGTGGCCAGCAGCATTCTAGCATGGTGGGAGGGGAGCCAGTGTGAATAAATACTAAGATGCAATGAATCTATACAACTACTAAATGTAATCTGTGAAGTTCAGATTCAGGAACACTTCAAATTCACGCAGAGAACCAGCAGCAGGAGAAAAACGTGAGCTTTTTTTTCTTCTTCTTCTTCTTCTTCTCCTTCTTCTCCTTCTTCTTCCTCCTCCTCTTCTTCTTTTGCAATGCTGGGGGCTGAAAGGCTTTGTGCAGGCTGAGCTACATTCCCAGCCCCAGTGAAATGCAGGTTCTCTTTTCTTCTATGTTCAGGGGACATAAGTAATTGAAGCCGGGAAGCCTCGGCCTGCTATCAGAGGCTGGCCTCACCGTCCTGAGACCACCACAACATCCCCACGTGCACCCTCTGGACTTGGGCCTCCCCTCCCCTGGCCCATCGAAGCACCTGTCACCCCAGCTCCTCACCAAAGTTCTAGAATTATCTCACCCTCAATGACCCAAGGCTGCTTTCTGTCTGCTTCACCCTTCAAGAACCATGGCAAAGACATGTTTTAAAAAGCAGCTGTTTGTTTTTTTAGACCCTGGAGACAAAGATATAGAGAAATGAGTAACCTTCCAGCTTTCAATGCATGTCTGACCTGGATTCGAAATCCAGCTCCAGAGCTTACTCTGGGACTCTGGAAAGTGACTAAACTTCTGTTTCATTTTCTCAACATAAGTGAGAATAACGAATCTCAAATTCACAGCATTTCCATGCAGGTGACACAAAACCTCACATACAACAGCAGCAGCACTCAGTACACAGTAAGTGCTTAGTAAACATCCGATGCTTAAAGGGCCATGGGTTCAAGTGCCACAAGATTACCCAGGAATGTACAGCTTGGTGTAAGAACAGTTTCTGACCAGAGCACAGCCTAGGGGTACAAGAAAGCAGTGAACCAACACCCATCCCTAACCACCTGCTGGAATCTGGAGTGTATTATCTCAGACTCTAAGACAAGGAGAGGTAAACTATCCCATAAGCCAAATCTAGCCTGGTATCGGTTCTTATAAATAAAGTTTTATTTGGATACACCTGTATGTGTCTGTTCCTGCACTCTCTCCTGCAGGAGGAGTAGCAGTGTACATCACAGGAACCCAAGGCATAAAAACATTACTGACTTCGGAGAAAAAAAACCTGTCAACTTCTGCACTATAAAGTAACAAGCTAAGTGCAACAAATCAGTCAGGCACAGTGGCCCATGTAATCCCAGTGCTCTGGGAGACTGAGGCAGGAGGATGGCAAGTTTGAGCCTACATTGCTTGGGCAATTTAGTGTCTTACCCTGACTCAAAGAATAAAAAAGGGCCAGGCTATAGCTAGGTGCAAAGAAAAGCTCTGGGTTCATTCCCCAGTATTACCAAAAACAAAACAAAAAACACTTTGTCTTTCTAAGGATGGTCCAGTTTTGCCAAATGCACCAAGATCAGAGGAGGTTTCCCAATCACCTTCATATGAACAGCCTCTGGGTATTCTGGCAGACGAAGCCTAGAAAATTCCCTGAATCAACTACTTGATCCCATGCTTCCCAAGTCCAAGGCAGCATAGGGTAGTCTGAGTCAGATGTAGGAGAAAGGAGACAAACCACTCCTTCTCCAGGGCTGCAGAGCTTCTTTTCCACAGCAGGCTCTGTACTTACCACAGCAGGTCCACCAGCCCTCCCTGCCTGGCAATGGCAGATTTCACCCTGTTGGCAAACTGGACGGCATCTTCATCTTTCTGCAACAAAGAATAAATGAAACAAGACCACTCTGGTCAGGTCCTCACATGCAAGCACATAATGAAGTCTATGCCTGGAGCACCTACCTCTCTGGTCATGGGAGGCAGGTACCAGACACTGCAGACGATGGCCCAGCTGGTCATCATCCTTAGCAGGTATGTCACCATCCCATACTTGCTGCTGTTCCAGAAGGCATCGCCGAACTGAGGGTCATACTGCAACACAGTGGGAAGCAGGCAGCACTGAGGGTGTGTGGACTGGTCCACAGGGCAGCAGCACAGTGGGAGCTTCTACAGCAACCCAGCACCAAGGCAGTGCTGACCTCCAGCCATGCTAATCTCCCAACTGCCCAGCCTTAGAGCAAAGTACAGGGAGGCCTCTCCTAACAGCCATCTTCAAACAGAAGTCCTCCTTCTTCAGTTAGCCCACATCTCACTCACAGGCACACACACTGTTACTGAAGTTTTCAGACACAGCCAGCAACAGAGGACTGGTTAACACACCTATGCCCTAGACTCAACAAATAGCCACATCTTGCCATTCTTGCTTCATCTTCCCTCTTACAACTTGGACAGCACGTCAGCTACTCATTATTATGTCTTGTGTCCTTCCCCTGTATCAGTGATGGCAAACCTTTTAGAGTTTCCAGTGAAAACAGCCCGCTGTGGTGTGTGCCACAGGTTTACCACCACTGCCAACTATGTGGCATTTTCTTATATAGCTGACAACCTTTTTTGTAACTTTCTGGTATCGCAGACTGAGCAGGAAACAATGAGCTTGTGATAGTTCTAGATCTACCATTCTAATGAAGCAAGTGATCTGCTCAGGCAGGAAGCTCTTTTGCTCGAGTCACTAGTATTCAGCAAATGGCCACACACCAAAAGGCTCAGGAGGCCTCAACCATGCAGGCACTGTATTTCCAACCAGGAAGCAGCTGCCTTGGACATAAGGATTCTAACAAGAGGCAAAGGCTACTTCGATGGCACTTTGTGGGAACTGTGGCTGTGGTGGGGCCCTCATTCGCATCAAACAGCAATTCCAGTAAAGGTGAGCCTTGTGGGAGACATGATGTTAGAGAGGCAGCAGGAGGACCTGACACCAAGGGGCTGCTTAAACAAAGTGACACAGGACCATTATCAACTGCCTGAAGGACGACTGCAGAAGGGCATTAAACACTGACTCTGTGTCATTACAGAGCAAGGACTCAGAGGAGCAGACACAGGATTTCAAGATTTATCCCTCCTACGTGGGAAATGTCTTCCCCGGCAAAAGAAGACTGAATGCAGGGTAGGGAAGTTGTGTGAAGAACCTTGCACTTCAGGGTGGGGTGAGGTTGGATTTCAACTGTGTTGTCTCTTAGGCTTTTCTGGCCTAAGTTTCATGCTTCTCAGAATAAAATGCAGATAAGTCTGTTGAGATTATGGCTCTTAACTACAGAAATAGAGACATGAGATTTAATAATAGAAACTAAGAGGGGCGGAGAGAGTAGCTCACTGGTAGAATGCTTGCCTGGCATGCACGAGCCACTGGGTTCAATCCCCAACACCAAAAGAAACAAAACAAAAACACAAAAAATTTAGACTCAATTGTAGGAGGCTTAATGGATGTATAATACCAAAAAAAAAAAAAAAAAAAAAAAAAAAAAAAAAAAA